AATACCTTTTGAATTTAACCCTTTCGGCCCTGGCGGTGGCAATTGCCACCACCAAATTCAAACGCTTGCATTGCCGCTGAAACAGCATGGTTTTTCTAATCCTGCTAGAGGTTGCTTCAGTCAACCTTCCCCTTCCTAATTATGAGCTAAACCTGCCATTTCATTGTGTGTTGCTGTTAGTATTACAAGTATTTGTGTACAAGTGCAACAATGAATCGGCGCTGACCCCCGCAACCGGCCAAGTAAGTGTCACTTTTTCTTAAAATACTTGAAGTAGATCCATTCCTAAATCAAAATTATGGGTTATAATGTTGTGCAAGATTATAAACTTTTTCGGCATAACTATGAAATTTGGAATTGTTTCGACATAAGCTTAAAAACTAAGAAGGTGGGCCAATTTTCAAAGCTTCTTAGTTTCTTTGTTTGTGATCGAATAGCTTCCAAATTTCGCCATAATGATACTTATATGCTCACAAGTAATAAACAATAGCTAGAAGAAAAATTTCTCCACGGGGAAAAATTCAGGTCCGAAAGGGTTAAGTTTTTACGACAGCAGAATTCATAGGCGATTGAGTACGAATGGGGCCTAAACAGCACCTTGGGGAAAGGAAAGGGCGAGGGGACGTGGGTTGGTTAGCCATTTACAAGACCTTATTTCCTGCCTATAATGAATGACTGGTACCAATAAGTAGGCTTCAAAAAGAAGGACCCGAATGGTAGCAAGGTATTGTATCTTTGAATGCGACACTTTCAACTACTCGCTATTCTACTGGATTACAGCAACATTCCGCAGACAATCACGAAATGTTTTATTGACCCTTAGTAGAAAACATCAGCGACAGTACACAGGAATCCCAAAGGAAAAAAGTCCAAAAGTGCACAAAACTAAGAAAAAGTGCCAATCACCTGAATATTCCACATCGAAACCGAGAACTGTACAGTAGAACCAGAAATCTCTAAAAAGTACAATATAAAACACCAAAACTCGGACTAAGCCATCTTCGCAATCAAGAAATAATTTTAAAGTTGAGGACTCAATACCTGAACAAGTTCCTAAGCTTCGTAGACGGCTGAGAAATCGGGCTCATTCTCTTCAGAAGGGTCGCGATTTTCGGCATTAACACACCGAGATTTCCAGCGCTTGTAGACATCTATAAGAAGAAGTCATATTTTGGAGGTGTAAGCAAAACTCTAATTGGATAAAATGAATTGTTAGACAAAAGGGACAAATACAAGGACAAGTGAAAACGGATGACAAAGCGTGTTATCTATAGTTCGTCCAGAAGAAGACGAAAAAAAAACACGAAAACTTAAGCACATCACATCTACTTCAACTAGTTTGTTGAACAAACCTTGTACGAATTTGTAGAAGTGGATAACGCCACTATCGTTAGCTGAAAGCATGACGACCGGATTAGGACATGCTTCGGAAAACGCAAAGCATCTTGTTAGAGCATCTATGCTGGATATTCGGGACTACACCATTTGGGACTACAGAAATAAATCCCTTAGAGTCACCCCATTTGGTTCCGAGAGGGCCAGACTGCGAAGGTAGTACTTCCACAACGCAGTAAACTTGCCCTCTGCCCATACCGCGCTTCGAAGAATGTGCCCCATTGTACAAGTTCCTCGGGAAAAGAAGAGTCTATTGATCTGTTCGCGAACTATAGGAAAAAGAAGATAGTGAAAGTGAATATGAGGCAAGTCCCTAACAGGTGCTGCGTCTCTTATTTATCCAGAATTCAGCTTTGAACGTGAACTTAATGGTGCACGTAATTTTATGAGGGGAAACTTTTGGATGATTACTAGCTCCTTGTTGAAAATCGACAAATCATTTTGATCCAGATTCGACTTAAAAGGATAGTTTTTCTCACTGGAGGTGCTCACAAGACAATAAGCTGTGGTTAAAGAGGTTATATAAACACAAACATATATTTTGTACAGAAAAATAGAACATGGAGAGAAAAAAAAAATAGCTAAAACTTCGATGAAAATCATTAGTAAATCATGTTAAACATCTTAGATTCACCTTAACTGTGCTCTTGGAAACTTTTTCTCCAACACGTCTGCCTTCAATACCGAGTTGGACGAAAAGTTCAAGAAGTCGTACAAGCAATGCCAGCTGATCTTCGCCTTCAGCTACGCCATCAGCCATTCGACCCAAAGCGGTGTCAACGCTTAGTGATACATGACTGAATAACAATGTGAAATTACGCTAAACTTCGGCGGACAGGTGCTTGAAAAATAAATGAAAACTTAAGATTTAAAATGTATTTTTTCTCGCAACACTGCCAGTTCTTGTCTTTGTGATGCGCACCGACCTAGCTAATTTGGAACTGGAAGTGCTACATATCTTAATGATACTTACGCGTATCGATGCTCTCCCACAGACACCCGGCTCCTGTGCGAGTTATTATTTTTTTTTTTTTTTTTTTTTTTTTTTTTTTTTTTTTTTTTTTTTGTGTTCCCGCATTGCTGGACTCAATCGAAATCTGCGTGAACAGCTTCATCACCCCGTCATAGATCGATCGCTACAAATCAATTCTTATAGGAATCTAGACAAATTATTATAAATGTGGTTACCGCTCCAGCGATCCACATATTAGCAAGACAGCGAATCATAACGTTGTCAAGTGGGGATGGAGGATTTGCAAATCTAGAAAAAACAGTTGAGCACGTGACAACAAAAATGGAACTGATTTCAAGCCATTGTCTGCATAGATTAATACGATGCTACCATTTTGATGTGCCCATATCAAAACTTGAAAAACTTAATGCTTCTTTGCGGGATCTCCTTTTATGGAGGAGGAGCTAGCCGCCAGATGGTTGCAAATAAGAAGACAGTGATGAGACAGAACTCTCTCACTGCTTCTTCTTTCACAGTGACAATACAACAACACAGAATTTCCAATAAAAAAGACATCCCTAAGTAACATTTGCGATTCCTTCTCTTGACTTGGTCAAACTCATCTAAACCGAAATAACTCTCAGTGTGACTCTGTAACGCCATGTATGACTATAAATGGAGCCAACTACAGTCTAATCCTCAAAATTTCAAACGGACAGCAGACTCGTTGATCATTTCTTGGAAATCATAGGGAAGGAGTCACTGATACCCAATGACCTACTCATTCGTACCTTTGCAGGAAGATCTGAAGAACCATGTCGGGCACATCTTTCGAGCCAACCAACGCCACTCCGATCCCGCCAAGGGTCATAATTGCGTTCTCGCATACCAGAGCCACAACGCTAAAAGAACAATATCAACAGGAAATGAGCACAGCAGAGACATGTGACATAAACCTTATAAAAATGTTAGACTCTGCGCCATGCTGCTAAGTGCGATACAGTAAACACATACAAGATACCACAGACTTTAAAGTGTACACAAAAAGCAAACATTGAGCCTTTTGCAGGCAGCATGTTAATGCACATGAACATTCAGTCAAGCCGCTCGTCCGTTGCCGCACGCTCAATATTCAGATAATGCGCACATGCTCACCTCTGTTTTTCTATAATATCACAAATTTATCACTGGATGTAACGCTATAGCTTCGTTAGAAATGCGCACCTAACACTATACCTTCGTTAGAAAGGCGTTTATGGCTTCGGGAAGAGGGGGAGGGGGAAGGAGACATTCGGGCTGCTGGAAGGCGACATTGTGCTCAGGTCTGGTGGTAGGCGACGCTAGGACAAGCCCACGAGAGGAAGAACGCCAGAGAGAACACCAATTGCTTACATTTTCCCCAGATCGTTTCTCCTCTCCAAAGCCCACTCCCACGTGCTACGAAAGGCTCACCCACTGGATGTTCCCCTTGAAGAGATGAGCGTCGTTAGAAAAAAATTCAAAGCATAACAATGTTCATGCAATGCGTGCGAGGAAAATGTCCGTAACATCAAACGTAACGTGATGGTACCATCAAAGCTCGGCTTCGATGGTACCATCACGTTCTTTGCGGCGAATAACGACAATGCCCTTGAAATCGCCCCTCGACCTTGACAGTCACCCGGAAAACGGTCCATATAGGAGGTGTTCAGCATATTAAGGCACGGCCCTTGTGCTTGTAGCCCGAGGCGCGCTGACAAAGGATCTGTGATTTAGTACCTGCGCATCCGGACAAGCCTATTATATGAAGGCCAGAAAGTGAATGGAATTGTCAACATTTGACCGTAGACTCGAAACACTCTGCAAAGGTGGGACAAAATCTCCATGGTAAGATGTCAGATTGATGTGATAACACAGTGTGTTGAGGAATAAAGGAGGGGCTCAAAAATGCTTCAAACTCTTGGGATCTTCATCTCACTTTAACCCTTTGACGACCGCCGTTATGAATGCGTCACTTCACTTCTTTCTAAGTTTTTTCATCAAAAATCATTAACTTTACAAAAATTTTACTATAGTAATTAGCGCATTATTCCGCGAATTCGATGATGTATTTGTGTAGTTTTGAAACATAAAAAATGCCAAAATAAACCCCTAAAAACGTGTCGCCACCGAGCGAAAGTGTGGCCCACCGGCGGGCCACACGGTCGTCAAAGGGGTAATTTACTTCGTATAGCAGTGTCTCCCTAACAAGTAATATGTCATAATCCTCAGCTATGCAAGAACGCAATTCGTGAGGTTATTTCATAAGCAATCTTACAGATGCATAACTAGAAGCAATATGTATTCGTAAGATTGTGACATACATAGTTCGCTTATTTGCAAATGCAAACATAATATATGAGCTGCTCCAATTTGTTGTTCGATGACTTGAATAGTGACCGGGTCTTGCTTTGTGGAAATTTCTGAAATAAATGAAACAAGCGTCAATATCTAAGACGTCATACCTTCACAGTCGAATTCAGAATGGACACAACGATGCTGATCATAGACGCAAAACACCGCCTCAGCCGAAAACCGAAACCCCAACTCGGACCCGCTCGTTTTCCACGTGCTGGTGATCACATTTCATAAAAAAGCTCTATGGTTTCACGACGACTAAGTTTTTTCTAATTTAAATTTCTAGGCTCTGCTGCTCAATGAGCTCTCCCATTGTAGGGCCAAACTAGTGAAGAACTGCCGTAAAAATAATTGTCCTTCTCAATATTTCCACAAAATATTGTAGATCGCAATTGAATCCGACTGCACAGTTAGGTAGTGTTAAAGTAATCACACACTGCATAGTAAAAACAGAAGAATATACAAAAACAGCGCCATAATCATTATGTGAAAACGAACTTACAAATTATTTGCGCTGGAGCAAACGAAGAGCTTGGATGAAAGGCTGGCGAGACACGCCTGCACACTATCCGCATCCACACTCAGGGAAGACTTCAAAGCCCTGGAATGGTTACTAGAAATATTTTTCATAAAGGTCAAATTAAGCGTATTTCAGTAAACAAACGAATAAAACTTGAAAACAGTGCTACTACAGCGCAATAAGGTTTTGGGTTAGCGTCACTTATCAATGTTTTTGGACTTCAGCTATAAATTTGCAGACATGAAGTGGCAGTGCCGCTTCTACTAGCGTCCATCTCCTTGAAGGCACAACACACGATCAAAAAGATGCGGTAATTCCGCTCAAATATGAAAGCAGGAGGAGCGATGCGCTGCAAGAGACAAAAAAGAAAAAAATCTGGTCAACTTTTGAAATAGAGCCCTCTTCCTCCAAGAAGTTGAGGATTCTACGAGGCAAACAGACTTCGGAGCACTGATCCTCGGTATGCCGAAGGAGACAGACTCGGAAACGAAGGGCGACGCTACTAGAGGCAAGGTTTGTAGCGGGGTGCTTTTCTGCGGGCGAAGGAAGCTTCTAGGAAAGGCTAGAACAGCTGGCTGCCGCCAATTCGCCAAGCAACCCTAACGACCACTGTGTTTACGACCTCATGCGGCGACAGTGGGTATAGCTATGCCGTTCTCAGCTCACGCAATGGAAAATTGAAATGGAAAAGGAGGGGTAAGTTACCTGCACAAAGCATCGATAGCGGCGTTGCGTAGAGCGTCGAGGAGCTGCCTTCCTCTTAGCTGCTGTTTCTTCTTGACGTCGCTCTTCATTTTTCCTCTCAGAAGACTGAAAGTACATTGTCTAGAGATTTAACAAATGAAAATGTATTGGTGGAGGAACAAAATTAGACGTACAGTTTCCGATGACAACTTGGCCAGAATTGGTGCCGGTTCGAGGAGAAAGCGAGACAAAATTGGAACCACAGTGGCAGTCGCCACAGAAGGAAATTTCTCCGCAAGCCTACTATGAGGCAAATCCTTGAAATAACAGCAAAAACTACAGAAAATTAATGAAAACGTTTAACCTCCAAGTGATGACAGCGCCCGAAGAGCTAATGGCAGTTGTGACAGTTGCACCCGATTCGTGTTGATAGTGAATAGACGAGCGGACATCGTTGAACAAACCGCATCAGAATCTGCATAAATTACTTTATCCATGCAAATTCACTAAAAAAAAACACGAAATAGAGGTACCGATATCATCAACGGCAGCCCACACTATCAATTCAAGTGCACATGCGGCGGCCAGAGTCGAAATGCTATTGGCGTGGTAAAGCTCCAGATCTGTCGGACGTCGTGCTACGCTCGATGGCGTCGTTCGACGTTCTCCGAGTGATTGCCGTTGAGTTTCCAGCAAACCCAGTAGATGAACAACGAACGCATTCAGCTAGAAGTCTCATACTTTGCTGAGATCAGGCTACTGAGCGCGTAGCTGAATAGCTAACCTCCTTAGCGAAATTCTCCTTAACAGAACAATCCTTGTTGAGCACCGAAAACGGTCGCAGTACCTCCCGCAGCAATGACAAGCACGTCAACGTGAGGGTCTCACTCACTGTCTTGTATGGAAATCGTTTGATATGTGCACCCTAAACCAATGCGTGTAGCTGATTACTTCAAACTAAATACCGTTTGTAGACAAACAAACAAACAAAAAAAAATAAAAAAAGTACCGTATACACGTCGGTAGCGTGATTGTCCAACTGCGTGAGCACATCTTTTTTGAGTAATTGCTGCACCTAAAACAGGCGCACTTTCACATTCACATTCACCTGATGATAAATTTCAAAAAGAACCTAACCGTGTCGAATAGAGACTCCAGCTCCTTATTATTCAGGAGAAACTGGATGCCGTCCTTCGTTTCGGTGTGAGTACCAACAAAACTTGCTCCGAATTTGTTGTAGAGTTTAACTAGGCGCTGCACGCTACTCGTTGTAGTCTCCTTTTCTGTGGGCACAGATCCTCCATCCAGCCACGCCCACGCATCATCAGAGCTTATTCGAGGTATATCCGAGCTTAAAAGGCAGCTTAAAAGGCAAAACACTTGTCAAAACAGTAAAGTTATCGACTAAGAAACAGACTCTCACAGCAGAGAGAGAGAGAGCGGTAATGCTAAGAACATTAATTTGTGGACCACAATGATGAGAAAATGTGGCGAATTACGTGCACACAGAGATCAGCAGACGTGCCTTTCACCAAAAGTGACACAAGTGAGTGCTCCTTTTCCCGATCCCCCAAAATGGTGAGAACATGCGATCCCACTGAAAAGAGCTTAGCAATTCCTCTAACCACAAACGCTGAATTAACGATCCGTACGGACAAACCATAGCCAGAATATGGCACAAGATGCGTATTGACTTTATGAGTGTATGAGTGGAATGGGAGATCCGGAGATTGGAGATATAGTGATCTCCAACCTGAGATATGCCATTCACTTCCTAATCAATATGAATCCAGGGATTCTGAGCAAATCTCTTAATCCCCTATCTCGTGATCTTTTGCTCTCCTATGTTCCCATATGGAACACATTGTTTCTACAGTTCCCCAGACTCCTAAAACAATGAGTATGTGCGCGGTCCTAGTACGTAGCGGGTAAACGCGAGTAACACTGAATCATCTTCAGATCACTTGAGATAGCCCACGTTCTCCATTTACGCAGCAAGCTGACAAAACTATTATATACTTGAAGTGTTCATGATCAACTCAAAATTTCTATCACTTTCTCAGAAAAGAGAAAAAATAAACATTATGAACAGAAGCACCAAACGCATAGTACTTGAAACATACTCCTTCTTGTCGTTGCCAACGTTCCCTTCAATTGGCATCTGGAATTCGACCGGAAATACGTATGAGATTAGAGGCCTGTCGGGGCTTGCGGAATATCGCCCCAATGACCGAAGTAACCCCATAACATAACACGTGAGTCTCAGAAGATGAGCTGAAATCACACGGTTTGCATAAATATGAATATGAATTGAAAAGAACGTCCCAGAAAAAAAGAAAAGGAAAAATAAGGATGACTGGAAACAGAATGAAACGAAGGTTTAGGATCATAATAATTACATTTTGATGGACCGATATTCTCATGATCCTCCAAAATTTCGAGGATTGAAGTCACGGCGCAAGCCAGAGCATCGATCTGAAAACTATGAAAAATAAACAAAACTGCCGTTTTTTGGCAGCAGGTGCCCTGCAAAAGTTTTGTAAGGTTTGAGATTAATTAAATGAGTATAAAAAAGGACCTGTGCGCTAACGATGGACATTACGATGAGCAGGTAAATGTGCAGCGAGATCAGACAGAACAGTATTGAAGCAGAAAGCAAATTGTTCCTGTACAGGGACTCCTAAACTGATAGCATTTTTGCACACAACATAAATACAGACTATTTGAAAAAGCCACTTACTATCTTTTTTGTTAAGCAGACCATCGTCGACCCACTTCATTTGTGGGAGAGTTGCCAACGTCTTGATAAGCAGAGGGACCAATTGGTCTGCGAACTTAAAGGAAAAACTCCGACAATAAACTCGGAAGCAAACTTGAAAGTACAGATTCGTTAAAACCATTGCACAAAACAAACCTTTCCTCGCGAATAAAGCAGGAAATTCCCGATCCCAATGAGAGTTGAGCGCACATTATGATTGAGTGGCTGGGATTCGAGATCTTCGGAGAGTCCATTCAGTAACGTTCGGCGTAACTCGCGGAGGCCGGTTTTCTCAATCTGAATATTCACCCTTAGATATTACATATTATGTCAAACGCCAGTACTCATCTGTATAAATTGAGCCAAAGCTACGAAATGAAGTCTTTATCGAACCAAAACGAAACGATAAGGATGCTGAAGTCACGGTCAGTACATGAAAGTTCCTTTCATTTTCTATCACCGCGATCACTTCTTGTACGTATGTGTATGAAGTATTTTGAAACTGCAGAGTACTGACACAGCGCGGCAGCCCAAAACATGTGTATGAACGTCACCGTAAGATCTGTGACTTTTACTACAGCAAGCTAACAAAATCGATAAAAAAGGACCGGAGACCATGTGGGCCTATGGGCTACTTAAATCGGTTGCTCAAACAGCGGCTCATGACTATTGTGATCTCACATACGAACTTTTGTCACGTTGTAATTGGACCGCCGCCGCCGGAGTCCAAGGGTTAGCCTTAGAGCTCTCATGTTCCTCTTCGGAAGCTCCGGCCGGGCCAGGAGCCGTTCTCCAATTTGTATGGGTTCCAACCGCCAGAGAACATGGAGGAAAGTCTAAGTAGCCACGTACCAACTGTTGCACACCCAACGTTCAACTGGTACGCTCCCATATGAAGCATGCAAGCATCGCACCATCACAGGTTACGTGCAATATGGGGAATGCGCTGCCAAGTTTAGATACGAGTTGATTCGACAAATCACTGCAGTGCTCACAGATAAGCGGAGTGCGCGAAATAAACGGTTATATTCACAGCGAGAGCGGGACCAACCAAACCGATACGTCTAGTTCTGGTAGCGCGGATCCAGCGCTGTGATCCTCCATAGATTCTGCAGTAACGCAAGACAGTAATGCTACTTTACATCCGATCAAAATATTCGCATGCATTTAAATGATTTTAGAGCGCTAGAAAACTTCAAGTCGGCGAATTTACTCACATGGGTCAGTTACAAATTAGAAAAAATTGATTTTCGTACGTGTAAAACTATAGAAAGATCAACATCTCCATGTTATAAATAGATGGAATGGAGGGCAACAAAATAGACTTACCTTTGCCAGGCAGATGGCTGAACACTGGATATTCTTGAAGACGAAGTCATCGATGTCCTTCATGCACTCTGAAATGTACAGTATTGAACCATCTTGTCTTTCATCTCAGGAATAAGCGAAAGGTGACTGATCGAGAACACCAAGAAAAGCATATTCCGCATTCACCATGAACCCTTATACTTACATACCACTTACAAAGTGTAACTTCTTCGATACTACATGGAAATCCAGAAAAATAGCTAAATGATGTGGACTCGAAACCCAAAACGTGCACCGCAATCAGCAGTCGAGCAGGTGTTAGACTTTCGGAACGTCGCGCGAATCGCAAACGGCACGCATGTGAGTATAAGTCAGTCAGTCCCAATAGACCGGTTGGCGCATCCACCGTAATTGATCGTTTTGCTAGCGCTGCGATGCAAACGGCATCTGAACCTATGAATCGCGCGGTAAGTTCTGACAGCCTCAAAATCCTGGCCAAAATCTAACGAATCACCTACAACATTTCTTATACTTCACGAGATTCGTTTTCAATCTTGTTGAAAACCGACCCTTTGCACTAGCCTGTTCCACTTTTAAAAGTCGGTGAGGCTCCAAATATGAAAAACATATAACGGTGTTCATTGAATGAGCAAAATGCAAGGGCGATAAACCTTGATCTGCACTTCGACAACAAAGGAAAACAGTATTCATGTGCACCGCCACAAATATAACAACAAGTAGGAGAACAACAGTATTTAGCGCCATAAAAAGGCGCATAATGGAAGTTTCAATCAACGTCTATCTAGAGTAAACATTTACAGAACACAGGTATTCTTATTGGAAAGCTTCTTAATCAATTTGTTAAACATTTTCAAGAATTCTCCGCTAATCATAAACTATAGTGAAACCAATTGTAACTATAAGAGAGCCGCAAATACAACAAAATGGAGCTAAAACAAAATCCAACATCTGCGAACTATAGCTCGTGATCAAGTAAAATGCCAGACACATCGCAAGTAACGAGAAATACCGAAAATAGCTATGCAAAGAGAGAACCACCCTTACAAAAAACTCGCTGCGGCTTTGTAAAGTCTCAAAAACGAAAAGAAAATAATGCGATTCAATAGAGCATCTCCATGTTGCTGTTTCGAGGCTTCTTGATCTTTTCAATGTTCTTTGTGATGATATCGTATAGCGTTGAGAAGTGGTTTCGCATTTCTAACACAACCAATCTATAACAAAACGATTTAGAAAACTAGTTACAACTCGCTAGTAACATATTCATCTCACCTGACGTTTATGAACTGTTTTTCATCCATGTCTAATATTGCTCTCCTGTAGTCATCTACATGCGGATATTTCGCGACCTGAACAAGTGAAAAATGAAGAGTGAAGTGCCAGGGTCACATGGAGTATGGACAAATATGGATGCAGATGAAGCAGTTCGCATCCAAAAAGAGAAATTAGAAGGAAAAAAATCAATCACAAAAATTTAATATGGCGCCGCTTATTATTGCAGCAGAATGGTATCAAAAATTTTAACTATTATATTTAGACATAAATTTTCAAACTTTGTGCTCAATACGCGTTCTCTGTAAGTCCGCTCCTCTCCCCCTTCAGGATGAGCTTTTGCTTGAACACTAGGGAAGGGAGTTCTGGGGCCGATGTGCCACTCACTGTAGGCTAAAAGAGGTATGTGCACATATGATGAGTAGCTTACGCAAAATTTCCTCCACGCTCTCCTCGAATGGCGAGACAGAGACTATTAAAGAACAGCGCCAGCCTCAGAGCACTAAGAGCAAGCCTCGGAAGGGGTGGGGATGGATTCCAAAGTGGTGAGTCAATTACAGTGAGGCAAAAGAGTGCGAGATCAAAGTATTATAGTTATGAGCCGTGATTTAGGCGAGAGAGTCAGACGAGAGCACAAAATTGAGGTGGTTGGGAGAGCCGCCCTTGAATAGCCTCAAGACTCCACCCAACCGACTCCTCCATCCCACCGTGGTTAAGGCGTTGGGCATCAAACTCATAGTGAGAGTACACAGACGACCAAGAGCGACCACCAAAGGGCGCTAGTTTCAGAAGTGAAAAGTACCCCCAGTACCCGCGTAAGTTTGTAGCGACACAGTAAAACCACATCATATTCGCTATAAGCTGCAACTACAGAAACGGCTACACCAAAATGACTCATAATGGCGCCCAAAATAATTGTCATATCGATTATCAATGGATGAATTACACTATAAACAAGGTTTTGAGAGTATGAGATTTTATGTTTCAGTAGAGCATTGTGCCAGAAATTCCACCGGAAAAAATAATTCAATTCCTAAATTAGTAATTCCATGCGTCTGCACCAAGAAGAAAGAGCTTGAGTAATCTCAAAATAATCTCAACTGAAGCGCTTATGGAAATTAGCACATTGAAACGCGCATGTTTTACGTTTTGTAGCCGCGTGATACTTCAATGAAGAATTTTAGGAATCTTATCAAGCAAATTGGGATGAAAAATCTAGTGTATGATGCAGAAGAAACCTTATCGAATGCGATGGAAAAAGAAAATGAAAGAAAAACAAAATATTTGTTTCTGAAATGTGAGCCGAAAGGTCCTAAGGGATTTGACGGGACTATGGGCTGCATGGGCTCCAAGGTGTTAAACAGACGATTACTCTGGTTTTGAAGTGCTCGATGCTAACAACATGACAATGAGAGATGAGCACACAAAGAAAGAAAATAAAGGAAGAAATCTTCTCTCACTTTTGTCAGCAGCTTAGCACGGCTTGTAAAGTACCGGCTCATCTGATCCAGAAACGAGGCTGCTTCACTTTCAACATTACGAACCTATAAGCAAACAAATAAAGACACAGAAAGTTGCTACAACTTGGCTAATTTCTTAATAATCCAAAATTAATACCAGTATTCTGCACATCTATGGGCGGTGCATTAAGTGGCTACTTCAATCCGGAAATATTACCTCACTGAGAGTTTCCTCCTGGATCGATACACCAAAATTGTTTCCATCTTCGATGCGAGGGATCAACAGAGTGATCCACATTTTCACCTAAAATGGAAACTATTCAATGATACCTGCCTCTTGGGAATGTGAAATAAAGGTAAGCTTAGCCAATCAGCAAAAATAAGCCTTAGCAACCTTGTTCACGTTCTCCACAGCATCTCGCAATAGCGGACGGATCTGATCCATTAGGTCGGCCAGATGTGCGTTACAAGGCACGGTGCCATTGATGAAGCCGTATACGGGAGTGCCTGAAGGAAGCAAAAATTAGAAGCTTATCGGTTTCCACCAATCACGAAACAGTCAGATAATTTACTTTTGCAACCATTATTCAAAAATTCAGATTGTCTTACCATTGTTAGAGCTTGGATCAAAAGTCGCAAGCTTACGCTTCTTTGCCGCGGGAGCATCTCCATCGACATCGTTTTGTAGATCGTTCTGTAGTTACAGTTAGAACTGACGGTCGAACAATACTTCGCAGTTAAAGTGCGGAACATATAAGTATCGATCGATGATTGCATGGAATTCGCGATCGCACGATCGATGCGCATCTGTTCCATACTCAAACTACAAGCCGAACGCAAAGTATGACCCTGAATAAAAGGATACCAGGTGTGCCACGCAAGGGACAGGAATGTTCAAATCTGGATCGGGCATCATCTCCGGTAGTCGAGAATAAGAAAAGCGATGAGTCTAGAAACTGACGAAAATAAATGAAATGCATCATAATATCACCTTATATTGAAACCAGAAACTGAACAAAGTACCTGCAACAGATTGTTGTACTCGATCACCTTCTTGGGGAACTCCTCCATGACAATACGTTCAGCTTCTTTGAACAGTTCAGCCTTGTAATCGTTGAACTAAACAAG